TGGAGCAGTTGGTGGAATCAAGATTGGCAGGGTAAACCGAAGAACTCGGAGAGAACTTGCCCCAGCGCCACTTTGTCCACCACAAATCCCACTTGACCAGACCGCGGATCGAACCCGGGCCGCTGTTGTGGGAAACCAGCGACTAACCGCTTGAGCTATGGCGCGGCCCTATACTAGTGTTACAACTGTTCATAATATTACAGCGACATCCCAGCCACTTGCAGTTTTCTTGCGTTTAACGAATGAACATACACAGCATGTCGAAAATGGCATTACGTTTTTATTACGCCAACATTAATATTATTTGCAATCGTCGGCACTCGAACTCGAGCCGAACCACTTACGATACATTTCGTAGCATATCCATTGTATTCTTATATTCTGAAATGTAATGGGGTCTACCACTTAAATTGTCCCTCTAGGCCATTCAGTCGTAATTCGCAATAAATCAAAAGTTGGAAGTCGAAGGGTGTGAGACCTCCTGGTAGTCCACATGCAAGCCTGCTGATGAAGTCTTGTAGTTCATTGTACTAAGCAGTCACTCGTCCACTTGTTCCCGTCTCTAATGCAACACAAACTTTTATTTTGAAATGTCAATCAATACAAGGGAGACACGCCCCACTAGAAAGAGCTACTCACAAAGGGAACAGCGTGGACGCCGCAATACGAAAGTAGCGTGAGTGCAGTGTGGGCATACATCAATACAGAGGATACACGCCCCACTAGAGCGAGCTACTCACAAAGGGAACAGCGTGGACGCCACAATACGAAAGTAGCGTGAGTGCAGTGTGAGCATACAACAATTTAGGGGATACACGCTCCACTAGGGCGAGCTACTCACAAAGGGAACAGCGTGGACGCCACAATACGAAAGTAGCGTGAGTGCAGTGTGAGCATACAACAATTTAGGGGATACACGCTCCACTAGGGCGAGCTACTCACAAAGGGAACAGCGTGGACGCCGCAATACGAAAGTAGCGTGAGTGCAGTGTGAGCGTACATCAATACAGGGGATACACGCCCCACTAGGGAGAGCTACTCACAAAGGGAACAGCGTGGACGCCGCAATATGAAAGTAGCGTGAGTGCAGTGTGGGCATACATCAATACAGGGGATACACGCCCCACTAGGGAGAGCTACTCACAAAGGGAACAGCGTGGACGCCGCAATACGAAAGTAGCGTGAGTGCAGTGTGGGCATACATCAATACAGGGGATACACGCCCCACCAGGGAGAGCTACTCACAAAGGGAACAGCGTGAACGCCGCAATACGAAAGTAGCGTGAGTGCAGTGTGGGCATACATCAATACAGGGGATACACGCCCCACCAGGGAGAGCTACTCACAAAGGGAACAGCGTGAACGCCGCAATACGAAAGTAGCGTGAGTGCAGTGTGGGCATACATTCTCAGACAACAACCACGTGCAGCAGTAGCATGTAATATATTGACTTACGAACTGATACAGTACGGTGGTTTCAATCGATTGACAGTTCCCTGAGGATGGCCTTACCGAGCCGAAACATGTCGTAACATTGAAATAAAATGTGATGTTAATGGCATTAAATTAATTAAATATTAAATTCAATATTCTCGTCTGCTGTCCAAAAACATAAGAATTAGCATATACAAAACTATAATTTTGCCTGTGGTTCTGTATGGATTTGAAACTTGGTCTCCGACATTAAGGGAGGAAGATAGACTGAGGGGATTTGAGAACAGGGTGTTGAGGAGAATATTTGGACCGCAGAGGAATGAAGTGACAGGAGGTTGGAGAAAACTGCATAATGAGCAGCTTCATAGCTTGTACTCTTCTCTATGTATAATTAGAATGATCAAGTCAAGGAGAATGAGGTGGGAAGGGCATGTAGCACGAATGGGGGTAAGAGGAATGCATATAGGATATTGGTGAGAAAGCCAGAAGGAAAGAGACCACTGAGATCATCAAATTGTAGGTGTGTGGACAATATTAAAATGGATTTTAGAGAGATAGGATGGGATGGATTGGATTGACCTGGCTCAGGATAGGGACCTGTGTAGGGTTCTTGTGAACACGGTAATTAACCTTGGGGTTCTATAAAATGCTGGGAAATTCTTGAGTAGCTGCAGATTTGGCTTCTCAAGAAGGGCTCAGTAAATGTGATTGTAATGACATTATAAAATAAAATTTATATTGCATTATATAAGGAAACAAGTGGACGAGTGATGTACCAATGCAACAGAAATCTGAAATATAATATTAATAGGAGGTAGTGTTTGTTATGTAATATTAATAGGAGGTAGTGTTTGTTATATAATATTAATAGGAGGTAGTGTTTGTTATGTTTCTTACCTCCGAGATGTTGAGAACATACGGGGCGTTTATGAACTGTGGCGCGTTGTCATTCGCGTCTGTTACTCTGATGTTTACAGGAATCACAAATCCCTGTAACACAGACGCATCGCATAAATTGCACGCAGTGTTCGGTGCAACCGCAAGCTTGGCATTAACAAGTTAAGCTATGGAAGAATGAAATATATGACGATCTAAGATGTTACTTGAGTTAGGATAATTGGCCTTACCTGTCTGAAATGGTTACTTGTATGGGATTTACAGAAATCATTTCCTACTATCTATATAAGAGAGCATGCGGATTAGCTTAAATTATTTTAGAGCGTTATAACGAAAACTGTTCAATTAAGGCTATTGTTTACGGCTGGAAAATTAGATCCAACTCCACATCGCTATGCAAATTTCGGTGAATTGTGTTTGCTTTTTAATATTTTTATTTTAGGAACAGAACTGAACGAATGCGTTATAACACTTCCAATTTATTGGTAAAAAGGTAAAGTAAAGCTATCCCTGTAACAGGCCATGAAGGCACATAGGGTTGTGAGATGTTGAAGCTCCCACATTTTCTGGACAATCGGCTTACACATGACGGTCAGGTTATCAGCCCTACGCGCCGGCCTCTCTTTACCCCCATGAATATTCAAAGAATTACACTTTGTATTAGTCAGCCAAGGAACAAACCCGGAAAGTGTTGTAGAATCTTTCAAATACACATTCTTATTACGTAAATATTGAATTCGTGTCTATAATATTCATGACTCCGGATCTGTAATTTTAGAAATAAGCCGAGGCGTTGTCCTTTCCATAAAAGAGGTAAAGCGATCCCTGTAACAGGACTTGAAGGCCCATCGGGCTGTGAGACGTCGAGGCTCCCACATTTCCTCAAGATAATCGGATCACAGTTGGCAGTAAGTTTGTCAGCCTTACGCACCGGCCACCCTTTACCCTCAGGATGATTCCTGGCACTCATTTCTGTTAGAGGCTGAGTCGACCCTAAGGCCATAGTGTGGTTGGAAGGATTTGGCCAATTGAAAAAAAAAATCCGCCTCATCTGGACTCAAACTCGTGAGAAAAATTTGCCTCTACCACTGCGCTACCGCGTACCATTCCATATAGCTCCCATTTTTATTTTTTTCCTTGGCACTACAGCCCCAATGGGCCTAGGCCTACCTCCATGAACTTCTCCGTTCACTTCGGTTTTTCTAGATTTTACACGTTTGGTAGGACTCCTTGGGCGGGTGATCAGCTCGTCGTAAGGCCTCTACCTGTACACAAACACAGAAAAACGCACACAAACATCCATGCCCTGAGTGGGATTCGAACCCACAATCCCGGCTTCGGAGCGAGCGAAGACAGTACATGCCTTAGACCGCTCGGCTACAGTGACGGGCCCCATTTTTATATACAAAATTGAAATATAGATTCTTGTTATTTTAAACAGTTCACGTTCTCATTGTGGTCCATGGCAAAATTTAGGAGCAGATTATGTTTTGTTGTCATCTTGAGCCAAATATATGAGGTTACTTACACAGCAACGTTTTTCTGACCAAATTTCACTGGAAGAGAGAGAATCTGTGATGAAGATATTGATATCTATGTTATCGAAAAAATTATATATGAATTTTATTTTTTGTTATATTAATTTGTATTCATACAAAAATCCATGAGTAGGCCTCATACTGTCAGACTTCACTCTTCTGAACCGTCTTTAGTTTACAAAACATTAATCTCAAACCAACTACATGTCAGCCGTAACAGTGCTTGCTACTTAATCTAATTAAAATCCTGGATATTGTGTTGCTGCAATAACATATCAGTTTATTGAATTAGATTACTTACCGCTGTATGTTCACATTTCAATGACAAAAATGTTCAGTTACTTTCGAATAAGATGACAGGAAAGTGTGTAACAGAGTTCAACCATTCTTTATAAGAAAATGTACTACGTGTATGTGCCTTGCGTAACTGAGTACACCGCTTAATGATATAAAAATATTTAGATCATATCTTGAGTTGTTCACAGTCTTAAGATAAAAGTACAAGACAGTAAACTTACGATAAGAGATGCATGGAAAGAAATGCTTCAATTTAATGCTACAAACGTAACGGTACACACACATTTCTCTCTCTGAAAACTTTACGAGTATGTAGCAGTTCAGATGTATTCTTACCGGGTCCGCGGCTCTCTTCCTGTCGCAGATCACGTTGACATACACAGAAGAAGGGCCGTCCACGCCCTGTAAAGAAGAGGAGAAATTCTGTACAATGTAATAAAGAACCTTTTCTTAAATAAAATTTTCCTCCACAAATATTTTTTGAAATATCCAAAATACATAATATTTTCAAACACAATTTTTTCTACAATTTCAACACATTTGTTTAAACAATTTAATTCTAACCGCTTGTTTGTAAGAAACAAAAATGTTCATCGGTTAAAATTGTTGGAGAAAATTCAGGTATTTCAGTTGTGTTTGCATATCCGCAGACTTCTCTTGCTTAACCCTATGGGTACATGTACCACCGGTTCACAACACTGGTTTAGGATACATATATACCGTATTTACGCATGTATAGGCCGCGTGCGTGTATAGGCCGCAGCACAATTTTCAGACAAATTATAGAAAAAATAATTTTCTTGGAATATTATTTCAGGAGTAGAACACTCTGTATTACTAATTATGAATATAATTTTTTTTAAATGAAGTGTGATTTCGAATATTTCGAATATAAGCCGCACCCCAGTTTTCCTCTTGAATTTTTGGCAAAAAATGTGCGGCCTATACATGCGTAAATACGGTATATCTCACAGATTCGCATGTGTACCAACGGTAGGCAGCCACTATGGGTGACCGAGTGTTATAACGAGTTCTTTAGTTTACAATGATCTCAGTATTTTTGAAACTGAAGAGTTCCCCTGGGTATTGTGTTCCTTCATGCTGATACCTGTTTTCCTTGATGTAGGCAAGATGACATACTCGTACTTGCCAGTGGTAATCCTACTGCTTCCTAGGAAAATCGGCATTGCCAAACGGAGCAAACCAGACTGGCACCCTGGAACTGAAGCCGTGGTTGCTCCCAGACTAAATTCGAAGAACGCGAATGTTTTGCAAATCATACGCCATGACATCTCTTGTTCAGCAACAGAACAGAATATTTCTCAGTCAAATGTAAGATTACACTGTCTTGTGATTCCTTGCTCCATTAATGACGTAGTGCCGGGCTGTTTATACCATGCAGCAAATATAATATAATATTAGGGTGTGTAAACAGTTGTTTGGGTAGAATGTGAGAGGAAGCGACCGTAGTCTTTATGAAAGCTGTTGGAACCGCTCACATTGAATCAAGCGCTAGCCAATCACAGGCTAGGAACCATCCGCTGCTAAGCAACGGCTGGGTAAGCAGCCGTTGCTAGGTAAAGCCTACAACAATACGTGACAACAGTAGGCGTCCGTCGTTAGGCAACGGTCTTGTTTTCTATAGGTCTGACTCGATGTTGTATAAGTATTCCCCATCCGTGTGGAGGCAAGGTCGAATACCTCCACCGTGACCCCGCGAGTCGTAGGTGGTGACGTAAAGGGAAGTCTCAAATCTGAAACAGTAAAATATGGCCGCGAGTCCCAAGGGACTTGGACCCGAGAAGGACTGCGCTGGCAAGGCCCAGTAGATTATATTAAAGATAGCCCCGTCCTTTCGTCAAACAGTAATAAATATCTGGTCCTGAGCCCCATATGGGTCTCGACACCAAGACTTACTGACTGACTGGCCGTCAGTCGCAATGTTACTTTGAATAAATTCTAAAGGCTTCTGACGATGGTGTATAACACACAGAATTACTATGTTTTTGGACTTTTCGATCGTCCGGTATTCTAGAAACTAGAAAACACGACGTTTCGGAAACTGGATCTGTTTCCGTCCTTAAGGGAAGGGGGGAGGGAAGACACCTCAATTGGGTCCCTTAGAAAGAGCTAACCTCAATCACTGGAAAACCCCTGTCAGATTCACACAGATAAGGGAGTAAAACCTGACAGAAAAACACTGGTCCTCCTAAGTAAAGGGGCTTGGGTAAAAACTATAACAACCTCTCCCCAGAAAACACGTTGTTCAGAAACCCACGGGAGGCAAAGGTTAAACTTAAAAGGACCACATATCTTAAGAAGATTAAGGTGTTACTGAGACAGCCTGTGACTTTCATGACTTACCTCTTTGTCCAGGCGTCGAGTGAGAGTTAGGTTCTTCGATCCCGGGACAATTCTCACCGGACTGTCCAGCTCTTTTAACCTGAGGACTATGTTACCCCCACGGTCACTTGGGTCACCGTAAATTCGTAGAACTCCTGCGTTAACATTTTAAACATATATTAATCTGATAATTCTGTCCCCTGGGTTATAACGCCGTGCAGTCCGCTGAAAACCAAAGCCCTACTTTGCTTTCTGATTTATGCTGGTTTCCTTACTGGCTTGATCTTCAACTCTGAAGACGGAGATGACACGTTCTTCCAAAACGTTCGTTAACTTTTAACAGCCAACAGGGCGTTATATCCCAGCAGATGAAACTGTTCATAATCTCCGCTATAAGAACATAAAATCCTAAACATTTGTCACTATACAATATAGTAAAGAGAAACGATGCTGCATTGGTTACACGGAGTGACAATAGAGCGCTCCATGCGCTGTTGGAGGTAGTACGAATTCTGCCAGTAGATGACTCAGTCGTCAGTTGAATTTGTATTTTTTTCCGCAGTGGCTCCCGGCGCACTGCAGAGTTGAAATTAATGAAACGACCGAATCGGTGGCAAAGCAAGCAATCAAAGAAGGTAGAGATAATAAATTATTATTATCAGTGTCAGATCTTAAAACCCAGTGGAAAAAGAAAGGCAAAAAAGAACTTCATAGTATCTAAAATAAACACAAACACACACACACACCAAACTGGACAGACGAGAAAGCTACTTTGAAAGGTACTAGAAGAATGGCTCGTGTCCGTGGTTCCGCAAGATAAAAATGAACTGTCGTGCCTTCATATCAATAAACCGTATGAGAGCAGGCCACACCAGTCTTAAAGCAAGCCTGAACATTGTGTCCACAGATGAATGCAAATGTGATGATGGGCTGCAAAAGGAGGAACATGTCTTCTGGGATTGTAAACAGTATGAGGACCAACAGGCAACAATGATGGACATTCTATCTGAGAACAACAAAAACAATACCCAAAGTCAGTTACAGAACTCTTAAGACCAGAAGAAAAAAGATTTGTGCAAGGTGTCTGTTACTTCATAAACAACATTCCTATATTTATTTAAAAAGAGATATGTAAGAAAAGAAAAAGAAGCAAATGAATAAAATGCTATCAGATTTAAGTTAAGATATATACTAAGAATCATGAGGAGACAGCTGTAATAGAATTAAATGTTTATGATAATGTGCTGCAAAGAACTGGATGGGCATTGCCTATCCTTTTTTTTATTTACATTTTTTTTTTCAAAATAAAATTGAAGCTGGATTTTCTAGTAACAGTGTTAAACATGATTTGGTTGTGAGTGCGCGGAGCTCCTAGTACCTACAAAATGAAAGTGTAAAATCGCGGGAAAACCTGGTTGCCCCTGTTCCTGTGCTTAAATAATAAACGCTACGCCATGAAGACGTATGTGAGAAGCGGATGTATAGGTCCACATATTCTTGACCTAGGCACTAGTCGGAGGTGAGTGGTCAGCTTTACGTCCCGGCCGCTTAACCCCTAGGGAAACTCAAAGAACCCAATGGATAGGAGGTTGGACTCCAGATCCTGTCTGGGCAGCGTGGAAGGGAGACAAATTGTTACTAATACTCGAATTCCAACATCTCGGCCTTCCACCCCGTAGCCAGTCGCTATACTGACTGCGCTAACCCAGCTCCCAAATTAACCTGTAATATTAGAGCAATTCTTATCACAATTGTGACAAAATTTCATCTTACAGATGTGATTTTCATTTCCGTAGAGGTTCCTTAAACTTACCGATCACAGCCCCTACCGGTTGGTCCTCGCTGACAAAGAAGCTCTCGGCAGAACCCCCGCTCTCCAAGAAGCATCTGTTGTCGGGGACTGAAAGCAAAACAGTGGATATCAGTATAATCAATGTAATGTCGTGTAGCTCGGTGGAAGCTCATAAACGTTTCGGAGGAACCTGTTCCCTCGGCCATCAATATCGGAGGGTAAACCAAGCCAGAAACCAAAAAGAAGCAAGCGGCGTAATAGGTCGGCGAGTTTCCACCGGACTTCATTGCGTAGGTTTGCTCATGGTAATAATTCTGTTCTTGGGTTTTTACACCTTGTGACAACCGACCGAGCGACCGCCGCTTGTCGGCGAAGTTAGTGCCAACTTTAGCGGATAGAGAGTGTCGCGTGGTCAGCGCAACGAATCCCCACGGCCGTGAATTTCGGTTTTCTAGACCGGAGTCGCTATTTCCTTCAAATAGCTCCTCAATTACCCTCACGAGGCTGACTAGACCCCGTTCCAGACCCACTACTTCCCAGAAAATCTTGTAGCTCCGGGAATCGAACCCGGGACCTCTGGATCTGTAGCCAGGAACTCTGACCACTAGACCACAGAGGCATAGACGGTATAGTTCGCTTGCGGACTCAAGACACGGAGATTTTTGTGGTTTCTGGTGATGTTACCGACGTTTGTAACGTACACGCTGCCTCCATGTACCTCGGAAAAGTTGGCAACATCGCCCACAGCCACACGGTATAACAATCAAACACTTGAATTAACATCAATACGTAACCACCGTGAAGGCTTGAAATCAGTGAGAGTACTCTTAAACTGTGAGCATTGTAAGCGCATCAAACCCAGCTTTCTTTCATTACTTTCCTGTAAATCCTACAACAAAACACTTATAATTCTGTTCCAAGCATGTCTGACATTTATTTCACTCTTGCTGCGTGGCTGAGAGCGAATGCTCCAGTAATTCAATATGATCGGCAGAGGGAAATTAATCAGTCGATACACAAGCGTAGCTGAATGCTTTCGTTCATAGTCCACTTCTTCTGCGGTTTCTTACCACATTCGGAACATTCCATTTCTTTTAGCCGTCTCGTCGTTCGGAGAGACGAACACAGGCCACTGCGTGATCCACTTACCTTCTCAGGATCCAGATTAGAATTCATTGCCTGGTTGATATGTTCCTTTCTTTATTTTCCTTCTTAGTTTTTCTTTGTTTCTTGGGGGTGGGTTGAGACTGAGTCCACTTGGTACGTCGGCCCATTATTTGGCCTATTGTAGCAGCCCCTGATGATAGATGAGTGTGGAGCAGTCGGTTCAATGAAAATTGGCAGGGCAAACCGGAGTACTAGGAGTTAACCTGTTCCAGTGCCACATGTCTACCACAAATCCCACATGATTTGACCTGGACTGGAACCCGGGCCGCCGCCGTGAGAAGTCAGCGACTGAACACCTGAGCTATGGCACGAATCTTATTTTTTCTCTTCCTCTCTTTTATAGTTTCTCTCTGTGTCTCCCGCTGCCAACTTATTTCTGTTCTGTCTTTCACTCTTTCTTTCTGATCACGTATTTACTTTATATAACAAGCATTACAGACAAAAGTTCGTGTGTAGCAGTCAAACTCTTTATTTGCTTTGTAAGTTCTGGTGAAACTTCTCATGAACATTCTCACTTTCTTCCCGAGAACTGTCATATCTGTCTTTGTGCTTCGTAAGTGGTACATTTACATATCTGTCACCCATGAAGCACAGAGTCAGTTATTCATTTCTACTCTCCTCCCCAGACAGTAGCCGGGAAGGTTCCTCTTCATGTTACCAAGCAGGCTGGATCAATCGGTAACTTTTCTGGCGTGTATTCCGGAAGTATCCGGGGCACTCACTGTCCTAACTGAGGTCTCTTTGGTTCCTCAAGCCGAATATCAGGCCATGACCACTTATTTCCACATTCTTTCCCATTCATTATTCAATATCATTGCGTCATTTAACGCTACACAGCCTGATTTACTGACAGCGTTTTTAGTAACTCGCTAGTGGGGGGTAGAGTCCAGCTGGGTCCACTCGGAACAGCGTCCACTGAATGGCCTATTGTAGAGTGCCCCGGGTGATTATGATGATGGAGAATTTGGTGGACCGAAGACCGGCAGGGAAACCGAAGTACTGGGAGGAAACCTGCCCCAGCGCCACTTGGTCTACCGCAAATCCCACTTGACCAGACCCGGGCTCGAACTCGGGCCGCCGCAGCGGGAAGCCAGCGACTAACCGCTTGAGCTATGGCGCGGTCTTAGTGACAGCGTTGCTTTAACTCTTCGAAACACAGCCACTTGCTTTTAAATTGAGAACCTCTCCTTTTTGACAACAATGTGTTTCTGTGCTTTTTTATGAGTGTCACAATGTACAGCGATTATTTCCCTAAACAGCATCTATGCTGTAGGAACTGAATTTTTCAATAGTCCATATTGTTTAGAGCCGATCACAGTGACCGCGGTGTCTAAGGCATGAACCTTCTTCGCCCGCTGGAACACTGGGATCCTGGGTTCGAATTCCACTCGAGGCATGGATATCTGTGTGCATTTATTCTGTGTATAGGCAGCGGCCTTGCGACGTGCTGATCCCCCGTCCAAGGCGTTCTACCGACTGTGTATGGATTAAGAAACTGAAAAAGCGCCAGGGTCGACAAGGGCTATAGAGACATAAACAGACAGACAGACAGACACGGTTTAGATGACGTTCCTGTTTGAAAGAGCTAAATAAACTACAAATAAGCAAAAAATAACAGTTCATACTATCATAAGTGTTTTCGATCCCGGGTCTGGTCAAGTGGGTTTTGTGGTGAACGAAGTGGCGCTGGGGCAGGTTTTCTCCGAGTACTTCAGTTTACCCTGCCAATCTTCATTCCACCAACTGCTCCACAATCACCCTCACCTATCAACTGGGGCTGGTACAATAGGCCAGAAGTGGCCGCAGTACAAGGGACTTACTCCCACCCCACTAGCAATAAAAAACCATAAGTGTTAAGGGGCAGTAAATGCCTTTCTTATAGCACTAGTAAACTGATTTGGCGGGGACATTATAGACTCGAACTCAGGATATATCTGGTTAAAATCTGATCCGGCTAATCGGCTAGCCTCAGTCTTTCTTTACTTTCAGTAGTATTTCCAGGTGAACGTAAGTATAGTCACTTTAAATGCGCCTTCAAATGCCTCATTTACTTGTTAGTCCTCATCACCTCAATTCATTCGACGCTACATAAACAACCTCCTTAATTAACCTGGGTGAAAACTTGTCGAAATATTAGGCACGGCGACATGTCAGAGTAAATGTACGTGAAATTCACTTTCCGGTGATAATTTTTCCTTTCTTGCTAATTAAAATAATATGTCTACATTTTCAGTTGCTTTAAGACTAAAAGTAACAGACCTACACTCGCATCGTTATTTTCAATAACTAAAACCTGATTTTAACATCCTGTCTCCATTAATTATCTGTTCCATGGAGCAGAGTCTCTCTTCATAAGCGTTTCTCCAGTACACAAGAAGTTCCCCGTCTTTTATATAGCTGAAACTTCGTTACTGCGAGCCGTAACACTATACCCCACATAAATTTTTTAATTAAATTTGGTGATAGATTTCTACACTGAAAGCTGTCCAATCCTGTAGGTCAAATATAATAAGTACATTAAATGAAGTTCACAAACAACTCAATTATTTGTCTCAAAACCGCTCAAACCTATACAAAAGTGGTTAGTAAGAGGCTATACAATGCAGATCTCGTAACAGCATCTGTAACGTTTAAGGCACTTATCGATATGTTTGTATTTAAAGACGTGTCTAAGTAACCAACCACAAGCAGCAGAGACATTCATGAAGAATTAAAAATTTTGAAGAAGTTCCCCGACATTTTTGGAGCTTCAGGGTTCATTGATGCTTTCAAAAGGGGCGGCAACTCTTCTGAGCCAGACAAATCTGTTCTATATCGATACACCTTAAATATTTAAGATTCATTTTAATATCATGCTCCCACATCTGCCTAGGTCTGCCATTTTTGCTTTCCCATTCTGATTTCCTCTAAAAATTCCGCAAGGATTTCTCACCTCTCCATTTAAATATACACACAATTTCTCTTCACTTGATTTTCCTAAAGCAGGATGGAAATTTTGTTTACTACTCCTTTTGTCCAGAGAAAATAAGTTGCATTCATCTGTCACAGTCTAAAAACCTGGCACAAAGTTTCGTCAGATAACTGCCGTACCTTCATCAGGCCGAAATCTCAGTTCCAGTTTTGATGCGTAATGGGGAGACAGTGACGAACTTAATTCCCCAAAGTGCTACTTGTACTGCAGGCACGTTTTGCAATCATACTCCAAGCAGGCTTGCTGCAGGTGTGCCTCACCTGATTCGAATTCGGGAGGTCTCTGATTCTAATCTCGACTGTTATCGGTCGTCCTGGCTGGGAATTTCCTCACAAATAGAACAACTACGAGTATTAGCATCGTACGAAGGGGTCTGTTCTATGGAGTTAGTTAGAAGCTTAAGCATTTTCTGAACGTTTACGCCCTGTTATCATAAGACAAAATATTCCTCTCCAAGTTTCTTTTGACGATACTTTTTGTTCATCCTGAGAATTAGTTTTTATTGCATTTTTTAGTTAAGTGATGGCTTGCGGAAGTCAAAGTTTATCTTTGTTGCTTCATATTTATAATCTCCCTAGATCCCAAGAGTAAATATTTTGACTGAGTTACTCGTGGCTTCCTCAGTCCCTACAAACCAACGTGACACCATGCACGCACCACGGCGTCTGACATTCCATTTTCAGTTCATCTTTGACAGTTCGCCTTAATATTCGACTCAACATAATCAATAAAACTGAGAAGACACCGTCAGGTACACCAAGAATCAAGAATTGAAAGCTTAACTCTGAAAAGCAATCGGCCATGATACTCATTTGTCTCTATTTTAATTTAGTTCCCACAAGAAAAGAAATGCCCATCGAAGTTTGCCGTGTAACACTATTAAGAATTTAAATCCCAGTGTAAACATTGGCCGTGTTCCCAGGCACTGGTCTTGGATGAAGATAAATAAGGCCATTAACCTTTCCGCGAA